TTTTTTTTTTTTTTTTAAATTCAAAAAGGGAGAAGATACCATTGAGTCAATTCAAAATATTAATAATAAGAATTAAGTCACTGAAAATCAGTTGCCTGTATTGAGTGTATAAGATTATCTCCCAGTACAAACCGGTCGACACAAAGGTCAACTTTCAATAACACTGACTTGACACCATTCAAGAAATGATCTCCACTCAAGAGGTTATGCTTCTTTTTTGCGCCAGTATTTTTCTTTGGGAATTAAAAAAAAAAAATAACACGTCAAGAAAATGTGTGAAAGTATTTTTTTTTTTTTTAGCAGAAAAGCTGATTCAATGGGAAAACTGCCTGTGGCCATGTTGCCAAGTAAATACCGGTACTTATTTTCCAGAGCAGATACCACACAAGTGTTGGGGTTTGGGGAGTGGGCGGAGCTGTAATCTGAACATTTTGCTTGAAAATTCAATTATATTTCCTCACTGACTGACATTGAGATGCGAATCCACCCACCGCGCGCGCACGCTGGGGGCATCCGGTTTAAAAAACAAACACATAAGAAAAGCACCGAATGCGCGTGACCTAAGGTGTTAACGTGCAGCCAAGATTGTGTCACACCAAAGGCTCAGAGAGTTGCGCAGAAAAGGCAAGGGGGCCAAGTAGAGTGCCGTGCCTCAGGGAGAAAACATGACCTCCATGCGTGTAGGAAATGGCCATGCCGGTGAGGGAAATGAGTCAACGCGTGGAGGGGGCCCGGGGGCGGGACCGCTTTCTGGGCCTGATGGGACATTGGAGGGAGCTTGAATTTCAGCCGAGGGAAGGCGCTCTAATTGGGGGTTAAGAAGTCCCCCAGGCATCACAACAGCCTGCCGTTTTATTGGTAATTCCGGATCACCCGAAATCAACGGCGCCTAAGTCAAATGAACAAGCTGGAACAAACTTCTCATCTATCGCCGTGATTCGCGGCATCGCTCCTACTATCGTATCGTTTTGTACTGCAGGGAGGGGACAAACTGCGTGCACGTTCATGTACCTTGGTCCCACAGCTCCGTCCGAGTCCTGGCTCCCGGTCTCGCTTAAGGTGTCTGCCGATTTGGCAGTCGGAGACGTGGGAGCGGGGACTACAGAGAGAAACAAATACAGGAAGACATTTCAATCAAAAGATCAGGACACAACTTGAATTGATTTTTTTTTTTTTAACTTGTTTCCGAATCCTGCCCAGATCCTGGAGGTGCTCTTGAGCGCAATGAGAGATAATTTCGGTCAAACATTTTTCAGATGAATGAGATTACACCAAAATAAATCATAAAACAAGATTTTAATTTGTGTTTTATAGCCATGCTAAGCGTGACTTTCATACTTGGGACTGCTGTTTTTTTTTTTTTTTCAATGGATCTCTTCTGCCACCTGTTGTTAGCAAAGTGGTAGTGTTGTAGCTCCGGTTGACAGAAACAGAATAATAATACGGACGGACGGGTACAGTAGATCACACACACACCCCCATTCATCATTCGCAAATATGCTCCACTATTCACTGAAAAACTTGTCTCGTCGCAGTTTCATGTAATAGCATCAAAATGTCACAAAGTTATATTCTTTTTGTGACAAAGTACTGTCAAGCGTAAGTCTGATATTTCTTGGATTGACGCATCTCTTTAATTAAAACATTAAGGCAACTGTTGGCCGTAAACACGCCGCCTCCCCCACAAAAAAAAAAAAAAAAAAAAAAAAAACATTAAACACGCACACATCTGTTCAATCAAATTCGCGAATCGGACGGCAATTGTGTACGTGTGTTTGTATAGGCAGCCGACTCATTTCAACACAAAACTAAAAGCAGCTGTGTTTGACTTGTTATTGACAGCCGGAAGAAGCAGGCTGTGCTTCCCGACAGTTTCGCCAAACACAAGTAACACAGCGACAAAAACGGTATGATGTAACAGCTCATGAGAACGGTAGGAGTGCAAAAATTCTATCTGCGACTGCCGGTTTCCGCGTGGATCCAGCGGTTTCAGGTCAGTAAACACCCCGAGCGCTAGCGATTATGGCCCTAACTGCCACGTCGCTCAAAGTCCCACCAGCACAGGCCGCCCCAGGAGCGCCGACACTCCTGGGCTTTGCTGTGCAGTCAAGTTTTCATTTGTTGAACACCACAATGCAACACCGGGGGCATAAAACTGAGCGGGATTAAAAAAAATCCTCCAGAGTAAAACAATTATAGAAAAGCCACCAACCAACAGAAACATCAGAAGCGATGCCAAAACTTTGTAGCAGGGCATCAGCTTCATATCGCTTCTTCTCCAAGTCAGACTCTTCATGGTGAATGGGCGTATCTTTCAGTTGATCGGCCTGTTTTGTCATGACAGAAAATTGACATGTCACTAATTCCAGAGAATATGATGTAAAATTTGTTGGAATCCATCAAATAATATACAAAAAATAAAATAAAAATTGGATCTGTTGAAGAATCTGTTTTGCGATGTGTCCGCGACTTTGCACAAGGACAATTTGCTGTCTGGACATGAAGGGGTAAATATCTCCTTGCCCTGTAGGGAGTCTCAGAGTCTCCAGAATATTTTGCTTTTCACACTTGACTGAGCACAGAGCAATGTGCCATTGACAAACCAGTTCATTGTGTATTTACTGCCCTCCGCGCAACTTGGGGGGAAAAAAAAATCAAAACATAAGAAAAAGGAGGCAGTTGCAACACAAGATTAATGTTATACTGTAACATGGCAAAGAAGGCAAATGCAACTTGGTCATTGATTTTTTTTTCGACATACAAACAACTGCGTAAATGCCGTTTTCATGGCTACGGTCACATGTGCAAGAGTGCATTCACATCAAGATATATGAGATTATAATGTCAGTGTCTCGACACACTGGTCTGTTTAATCCCCTACTGCTGGGTGTTCTCACGAGAACAAACAAGACTTGTTCATTGCTGACAACGAGCCATCTATTTTGAATCCATAAAATGCAGTCAAAGTTGAAGGATACCTCCTTCTTCTTGCGTTCCTCCTCCTTCCTTTTCTTTTCCTCTCTGATTTGGGCCAAGCGTTGCTTCTTCCTCTCAAGCTCCGCTTTTAGTTCACTTTTGTCAGACATGATGCTGCAGCTGCATAAGAGGGGAAACGTGCATTTCGGTTTTAGCACAACACAAAAATGCTGAGTGAATAGTAGCAGCACAATCATACTCAGTGGGAACATATTTGTCATGAGCAGCTACACAATGACTTTAAATCATACAAAGATAGAGTACATTTTCGATCAATTAAGATTGCAATGTTTCATTGTTGTGTTTTGTTTGCTGTGGTATAGGACAGAAGTTTACCAATGTGTGAAATAAGAACAATAGTACTAACAAACTCAATGCTCAACTGGTGCCTCCTAAGGTGTTTTATTTTGAAAAGGCAGGTTATTTTATTCAGTTCTTACAGGATTTTATTGCACAGACTCCTAATAAATTTACATTTCCCCGAATCTATTTCTGTGTCGATCGGACACACAACTAGAGACCAAATAACATGATCTATGATTCAGGCCCCACCCTGTACAATCGGATCACCACAATTTGCCCCCTACTAGCGTCCCTGTCAAACAAGACTACAGTTTTTTTCACTTGATGCTCTAAATATTCGCATTTTTACTTGTTAAAACCTTCGATCACGTCTTCAAACGACAGATTCGCTTCATGTCGGTTTCAACTTGAATTGTCTCGACTACTGTTAGCCTTCCGTGCTAAGACTAGCTGATGTGCTGTCATTTACCAGTATACGCAACACGTGCTATAACACAGAATGTATACATACAAGTGTGATGATAGAAGTTTGTTATTTAAATAAAAAATATGTCTTTAGCAACCGATCCATTAATATATAGTTGGATGAAGCGGTGGACGAATATATTAGCTGGTTAGCTACCACAGCGATCTAGGTCCGCAGGGCTATCATGCGCTAACAGTTCTAATGAAGCCCCCGAGCCTACTCAAACTATGCAAATAACCTAAGTATAAAAAGCGTGTGCAAATACAACGCGGTCAGAATGTCTGTTAGCAATCAAACCTTTAATTCGGTTTCGGGCCGGGAGGAGGTCTTTTAGCAAAAAAGTCAAAACAAACCAGCTTGCAGCCAAGTACGGCTCCCGCGAAGGGGCAAATTAGGCGTTTGGAGTTGTTTGCGGAAGTCGTGGCGTTCATGCAATGCGACTAAAAAGTAAAAGATTAACTGCTCATACCCCGATTAAATATTACATGAATAATAATAGAATTTTCAGTTGGTGTAGATCAGGGATGGGCAAACCTTTGTACCGAACAGTGATAGCTGGGCCAGGTTATTGAGGATTAGAAATGTTTCAAAGGTAATTGTGAAATGTGACAAATAGTTCAATTTTATAATAAAAATAACGAATTCCGTTTTTAAAGTTGAATTCAATTACTAGTGATTACAATTTTTCATTGTGGACAGACAACATATGTTGAATACACATTTTATTGGGTACAATAAAGCAGTGAACACATTTTTGAATAAGACAAAACAAAAAGTATATATACTATATTTACTAATCTTATGGGGAATTCCTAATTTTGCAACTTACACTATACATGTAATAGAAACGTGCAAAGAAAGGCTACTCATTTATGACCATATATGGTTTGAATGTTTTTCACCATTTCAGTTGTGATTATTTTTGGCTGTGGTTAAAACGTGACCAAGTGTTGCACTAGTGTTTCAGTGTAAATTGCATCTCTCCCACTTAAGAAGAACTTGAGCACCTTCGTTTGCACCAGTTATACAGTGATATAGCAAAAAAATTTTAATTCTTTTCGGAATGTCTTCTGGTGTGGTGGCTGTAGAGTGCCTCGTTGTTGGCCCGGGGTGGGCACATGTTCTGGAGAGAGTTGAAAAGGCGAGGAGGGGTAAAAAAGATATGACTCAGGACTTTGTACTAGCTTGACAACTTTGGGAAAAGACCTGTGACAATCCAGTGAGATATATTCCACAGTCATGAGAGAGAGTCAAATCAGAATCCGCACATATTTATTGTAAATGTGTATCATAGTATCTGAATAATTTCAGCACAGAAAAATGCAGGAGACTTAGAGGAGTTGGTTGATTATCGGTACATGTGAATCCTGTTTACATACAATCAGATCGTATTGCAACATCTACTATAGATAGGACAAATATGAAAAATAGATATCAAATGAGAAAGAAAATCCAGCATAAGTGAGCAGTAAAAAAGGAGTGTACATTCATTCTAAATTCCAGTTTATTTTGAAATTCAGTTGACCTGATCATCAAATTTATTATTCCTCCTGCGGACCTCCCCAAAGCTGTCACCCTCTGCTCCATCTGAGAGTTGAGACAGGGCCGGACCCACTTTTGTGTCATCCTCACCGCCCCCGTTGGAATGCAGGGTATGCAAGGTCTGGTCACTCGGCCGTTTCCAAGACTGTCGAGTGGCAATCCAAAGGATTAGTCCTCCATAAAGCACGAGAAGGAGTCCCAGAACGTTAACAAATATTGCCTCGGGGGGCGAATCCTTATATTTTGGGTTGGTTCTAGGATGAGAAAATAAAACAAAGTTAGACTTGTTTATGCACAAATTGATTGCGATTTTAAATACCTTAGTAAAGCTGTTTTTTGTGGTACTTACAGGGCAAATATAAGTTTCTCAGTGATACCCATGAGTGCCACTGCTATAACAGAGGTGAAGATGAACAGGCCACTGTAGACATGAACGGGCATAAGGGCTGCTCTCCAGGACATGGGCGCAAATGGCAACAAATACAGGCTGACCCCGAGAACCAGCTGCATAAAAAAACATATCCATGTTTTAATCATACAAAAAAAAATAAATTAAAAAAAATCCAATAAAAATAAATACCTGGAGACAATAGAGTATTACAGCTGCCAGGCCCACCCAGCTGTGCAGACTGTACATGTTGGGGATTTTGGCAGCGTTGTGATAGTCAAAAACCGCCACGGTAGCAACAACAGCAAAAATGAAGGCCACCAAGTTCAAGCTTGCGTGGATAAATTTCATGGTAAGTTTGCTGTACTTCCAGCTCCATGGGAGTCGGTACACGATGATGGCTGGAAGAGAGAAAGATCGTCATTCAATCAAAGTGTTTCATATTTATTCATATACAAGAACAAAAAAAAAAGGGTCTGTTTGTATTGCAGATGCGGTTATGGATGACATGTAAAGTTTTGACCCGAGGTAGGTGCTTCCAAGATGCAAATATTTTGTGTAAAAGGCGCTGCTTACTCTTTGACAAGACAGAGTATTGACAAATAGAGCCATCCAGTTTGACGGCGTATGTTAACATTTGTTGAACATTCGGAATGTTGATTAGTTCAGGGTCACATGTGCATCGGGTACATATTGATAGAAGGAATTTTTTTTTCAAGGAGAAGCACTTGTGTTCTCATGATGTATAAAATATGTATATATTTCTTTTATTTCTGTGTAACTCGAAGTGATTTAATTTTAAGATCATATCGCTCAGCCCTAGCCCGTATTGTCAATTTAGTACAGCACCTCATCGCTGTTTTTATGTTTGTGCCAAAGAGCCATCTTCTATAAAAATGTTCGTGTGGTATCTTGGTGCCAAGGATCTATGTTCAAGTAAGTTGAGGAGCTTCAATTAGTTCTCTGCCACCATGTTGTGGAATTTTTAGGCAATCGTAAGCCTTTTTAATGGAGAACAAAACACTGTATCATCTTTGCAAAGGTATTTATTTGCTCTTATATTGGGGGGGGGGAATACAACATTAGCAGATGAACTGTGTCGCATTTATTAGTGAGTTCTGCTCAAATATAATTATCTTACATCTCCAGACCAACTTGAAAAGAGAGTTAAGAACTCCGGTATTTCAATTGCATGACGTTTCACATTCTGACGAAACACTGCGCTCAATCGAAAGTGAAGTTTATCGCGTAGTATTGAGCCGACGCGATCATTTCAGCGTTTGGTCCACAAACACGTTCGAAAACATTGCAGCGCTGCACACGTGATGACTTGCGTGCACAAAACTTGAGTTGATCATCTACAACAGTATGACTTGTGTCATAACATGAAGCTTGCCCAGAGAAGTAAAAAAGTTAAACTCCCAACTCACCCAGACCCTGCAGGATGATAAACCCGCACACGTTCAACACCGGATGCCAGTTAAATTCTGCCAGTCCTCCGTCCCACGCCAGACCCCGTTGATAGTAAAGGACCCATCTTAACACGAAAATGATAGCGATCACACCCACAACGCCGGCGGACGACAAGGTGACCAGAAACTGTTTGTAGTTCTCCATCGTGCTGTCGTATCTCGGTAGCAGGTCTTGTCCAGTGAAGACGGTGATGAAGGGTTCCAGTCTGTTATGGACAGAGTCGAGGTCACGTGACACACAGCTATGCAAAATTCTGAGAGGAGGGGCGTTTTGTAACTTTGCAGCTTACAAAACTCGCTATATTTACTTTGTGTATCCCATTCCGTAACCCATTCTGCCACTTAGTTATGACACAAGCAATCTTTAAAAACAAAACTGCAGCATAAAACAATGTTCTTGTCGTTCTTCGATTATCAAGAACTCTGCTCGACTTTGGGGTAACACTTGTTAAAAGAGTTCAACAAATTGTTCCACATTACAAATGGAAAAGTAAGCGTTCTGAAACTGGAGTCCACAAGCCTGAGCTTGAATTTCTGTGAAATAATTTGAAATCAAATTAAGTAGAATTTAACGGAGGGGGCAGCCCGGACATCCACCTGAGGTAGCATCCACGTTGAGGCATTAAAAAAATAAATAAAGCTGTCGATGAAAATATGATGTTTTCCTTCTCTGCACGAATATTGCCTCTTTTGTAGAAGGATCATTCGTTTTTTGAAAGAGGGGGGCATTTGTGTGGGACAAATAAAGGATATCTTATCTTATCAAGATATCAGTGTTTTTTGTTTTTTTTTCTTTCTACCCCACAAATTTGCTGCTGTAGACTGTAAATTTCCCAAGTGTGGGACAAATAAAGGATATCTTATCTTATCAAGATATCAGTGTTTTTTGTTTTTTTTTCAAGCATGCGTCTTGTTATCATCTTCGGCTGCTTCGCTGGGGTCAACTCAGAATAGGTCCCCACAAGACCCGGGAAACATTCCAGTGACCGTGACTCACCCGGATGTGGTGAAAGCATGGATGTAGTCATCTTCCCGATGAACAAAATGAGCATCCGGGGTACCGTCATATTTTGCGTTAACAGATTGCCTAACATTGTTTTGGGGGGGGCCATGTTCATGTACACAAGCCCATTTAATGGGCGGATCGCAATAAGGCAACAGCATAACAGCGTGATTTGTTGTTGTTTTTTTATTTTTTTTATTTAAACAAAAATTACAAATTATTTCAAATGTACTAAACTCTAAAATTGCACAAAGTAACAAACTCAAACAAACTAAAAACTAAAAGCGCCTGACATTCACCGTTGGTCCTGTTTGGTGGCAGTTTTGAGCTTGTAAATGTGGCAGCAGACGTTGGTGTTCTTTTGTTCAATATGAGCAATTGTGTCCTTGTCAAAGATCAGGTCATGTCGGTAAGTCTGCAATCAAAGATGAAAAGTTCACCTCGGCACATTCACACGCATTCTGCGCCCCATAGTTCCTCACCTCATCCCACGGTTCCAACAGTTCAACAGTCTTCAGTAACTGTCCACTCTGGTTGTCATGCAGTCGGACCTGAGCTTTCCCCTCCCCATCTGCACCGTTGGTGACCACCACGGCCAAAAGGTCCAGTTCGTCCTCATATATGACTGTACGGAACGTCTGAAAACATTTGGATTTATTTATTTTAGATGTTTCTGTCAACACGATTCATTTCTCGGTAGCATGTAGCTGACTGACTTCAGAAACCAGTTATGTGCCTAAGAGGCACACCAATGAATCCTGTGACTTTAAAGAGGAAGCCAACACCAAATGTTTTCCTCAATGTGTTTTATGCACCTTCATTAGTCGAAAGACAGCATTCTGATTAATACTTCGTTTGTGGAATGCAATTTAAGTACCGGTAGCAATTTTTAGCCAGCTCAGGGGGTGGCCATGAATGACATCAGAGTTGCTCGGGCCTCAGGTAACAACCTAGCACGCCTCACGTGGTTTCTGAAGCTGAGCCAGGATTGGTTGCCAGGGGCTCATCATTAAGGAGTTTGGCGAAAACAACAGATGGTGCGATTGTTCGTAAAAGCAAAAACCCCAAAACAGCTCTCGACTGGCCTTAGTGTGGAGATCATAAAGTATTTTCATACCTCCTGATCAGGGTCATCATCGAGTTGCTGCAATCTTCTTTTCACTGTGCGGCCTGAAGAGGTGACAGTGACTTGCGAGGTAGACTGCGGTCGGTATATACAGAAAACAAAAAAACATTTTGATTGAAAACAGGAGCATTAATGAATAAAAAAAACATTCATCCATAGCAAAGGAAAACACTTGCAATGTTGTTCCGATGAATCGCCATCGAGAAATCTTCTACTACCTTTGATGGCAAGCCGCTGTTCAACTCACCAAGGATTTTAAGAATGCTGGGAAGATAAAAAAACGTGAAGTTCAATTTCCAACTTTATGACAATGTCAATCAAAATGATAATCATTAATTTACAGTTGTCTGCTTGTGTTAAGAGCTCATGAGATTGTGCAAGGTGTACCTAATATTGAGACACCGTTTCTTTCTACTACTCACTTAATGGTCCTGGGCCCCGCATGAATGATTCTTCCTGAGTCATCAGGATGGAAGAAAATGGCATCGCTCTCTAGCGAGTAACAGCTCATATTCTGTATTCCATTAATTGCCTAAATTGATTTTAAAAGACAAATAAAAAAGTATTTTAGCTTGGGCACCTGATGAAGTGTCGAGTGTAGATCAAGGGCTAAAACGACTCAAGAAGATATCCGGAGCAAGTATCGATGGAAAGAAGTGGAACGAGAGCAGCTTTTTAGAAGAGAACTACGACGACTGTCAAAAACAACTGTCCCCCTCGCTCCCCGCTCAGGCTGACAATTTCCCTTGAACCAATTCATCAGTGGTTTTCGTGTTATAGTACAATCAATAAGAAGCTAAACGTTGAAAACTGAAATTTGTACAAAATGTATTCAAAAGTCGACAATTTTCTGGATACCATGGTGCCGTCTTTGAGCGAGCGGAATTGGTGAGTCCCCTGGTGGCATTTTTGTGGCGGCGTGTGAATGTAATGCCAAGGAAAGCCTCCAATCTGCACTCCGTTACTGGAGCAGGACACCTCAAAAAGCACAGGAGGGCAATCTATGTAATCAGAGTAAAAAAAAGAACGTCATCAGTGAAAAATCAGATTTCACGGCCATGAATCGACATCAAATCTATATCACAAACTGTATTACGCTTACCTGTAATGTGGATATTTACCGGAATGCCAAATGGAACGTCTCCCACTGTTTTGCCGCTGAGAAGTGAACTTGGTTTCCCAAGCGTTAATTTCTCCACCAGGTACTGTAAAACAAAACGCTTAGTTGATGTTCAAAATTTGGACCACAAAGAAAATGCACTTTCCTCCAAAATAAATAAATATATATTATGACTAATGATACTTACTCGCCTGATAGCATTAAGTGCCAAAGTCATTTTTTTTAAACTTTGCTGGAAAACAAGAAAGCTAAAAATGACGGCACCGACTGTTATTATTATCCTGAAGAGAAAAAAAGGAGGCATTTATTCGAATTGAGGCAAATTATGTATTCTAGAGGATGCGGCAGCAAAAGAAATCACTGAGGCAGTGCGTCTATTCGAGAAAAGGACATTATTTGAATACATTTGGTCATTACGTCATTAAGTGTGACATGGAGCTTACGCACCTTTTGCACAATGTGCTCAAAGCTAAACAGCTTCATTGCCTTTCTGCTGTAGGATACGGCCAAGACGCCCTGAGATAAATCAACGTCAATAATGCCGTTCCCGAATACCTGCAAGATTTAAATGGATATCTTCATCCACTACACCCCTGCTATTCAAAACATGTGACAGGAGCAAATATACAAACCTGTTTGTTGACTTCCATCATGCCCACAATTTGTAAGGGGAAAACTTGGAATATGATCAGATGCATCACTGTATTCTGGGTGATACCAGCCTGGCAAAAAGAAAATGAAAATTGCAGTGAATCACTCTGAGCTTGATTTATTTGGTGATTATGACACTTTTGTATCAGATCATGGCTAAACATTTGATGCAATTGTACCATTTGAGGAGATCAAACTTTTTTCACTTGTTCAATGTATTTACGGATTTCTACTTGGCGGGATCACTGTATTCTGGGTGATACCAGCCTGGCAAAAATAAGAAAAGAAAAATTGCGGTGAATCACTCTGCGCTTGATTTATTTGGTGATTATGGCACTTTTGTTTCAGATGATGACGAAACATCTGATGAAATTTGAGGAGATCAAACTTTTTCACTCGTTCAATATATTTACGGATTTCTACTTGGCAGTAGTGCAGAATTGACCTACAGATTACAATGAGGCATTTTTGCCATGTCAAAACAGTCAAATTAGGTAACTTAGATCATTTTTACCTGCCGTGATAAGGATGTGCCTTTGTTTTGAACTGATTTAACATAAAATATCTCTTGAGAAACATCCCAGCTTAGGTACCTTTAGAAAAACCCAAAAAAGAAAAGCAACATGAACCACAGATACTTTGTTGAGGAAAAAAAAAAGAAGAAACACCTAGAACTCAAGGCTAAATGTTTTCCATCAACCTGAACGTGTGTTTTGAAGAGAGAAAAACTCTCTCCAGCTCCTGTCCCGTTGACTCTGATAAGCGGTACAACCAATTATTGGCTGTCAAAAACAGCTGACTGGACTTGTGATCAGAAGGAGACGCTAGCGTGGTTTCCTGCCAACAAAAAAACAGATTCACACTTGCAGTCAAAATAAATGTGTCGCTAGAACAACGGAATGTTAGACGGATCCATTTACAAGTGGGCTCTGGCACAGCAAGGTATCTTCAAATTTATCCACTTTGGATCGTTTAGGCAAATCGTAGAGAGCGTGAGGCTTGGAATGAACGCTGAAAAGTTCATAAGAAAGTTAAAATAGATAAAGTTAAAGAAAGTTAAAAAACACTTTGGGTGAATCATCTGTAGAAATGTACTCCGAATACTATATGAAGTTATGAAAGGATAATTCATTTGTACTCACCAGCTGTAACACTTCAGGTAATTCTCCAGGTAGATTTTACCGTTTTCATACAATATTGTGGATTTAGAGGTCTTGCTCCACACTTTACAGAAATCCCTATGATCCTGAATTATGACATTATGAATTAGGAATTAAACATGAATAAAAACCCCAGCTACATTTCAGTTGCACTGTATTTTATTTTTTTCCCCTCCATTACCGCTAAAAGGATGCCTCTTAGGACCTTCGTATTGAGCCTCGTTAGAGTCCCACCATCTCTGATACCTCGTCCTCTCCAGCTCAACACCTCAGCAGCATTTACGTTCCGTTTTTTTCTCCAGTAATGGGCCATCATCTGGCGGCATTTCTCTCCACCTCCCGACAACGTATCTGCAAGAAAACAAGAAACAATTTAATACCCCGATAGCACCAATTTCCTTTTGCGTTGAACCCCTCGAAAGCAATGAACACAACAAGCACACATTATTAACACCATTGGACACCTAAACCATGTTAAGTGCTCTCTGAACACTGCAAAGCGATTCTGAAAGTACTGTACTTTTTTTTTTAACTACAGGGTTAAAAGTCAGTGCAAACTACTGTGCATGCACAAATTCAGTGACCATCACCATCAACATTAAACTCGACAGAATCCTCCAACACATAGATTAAAACATTCAATCCTCCATTCATTTGAGCTATCAATCCAAAAAATGTAACCTGTTCATTTTTTAACCACTTAAATGCATCAGTTTACTATCTTCTCAGCTTGACAGTTCTGAAAATGAACAAGTATACATATTCCTGGACAGTCTGTGTACTTTTTTTTTAAATCAAGCATTCAATTTTCAGTTTGTTTGCACAATGCACAGCTTTTGTGACTTTTTTATAACTTAGACTACGTCAGGCTGAGGCTAATACTGTACAAGTGCACAGTTTTTCTAGAATCGAGCCAGCAGAGGGCGCTCCATTTAAATGTTAATTTTCTCCATGGTCTGGAGATGATACTGTATCTCTATTTATAATAATAATAATAATAATAATAATAAGACAATAATCCACACACTTGGGAAATTTTGTTAAATGTACAATACCACAAATAAAAATAATACTATGGGGAAACCTCTCAGGGATATGCCCTAAAACTATACATGACGAAAATACACGGAGTACTTATTCACCAAAATAACTGAGGTGGTATGAAAATGAATATGATATATTCGACAAAACAAAACAAGTTATCCAGAAAAAAAAGTATTTTCAAAACGTAGCTGACTGCGACGCGTAACAGATGCATTACGTCAAAATCCGTCGACACACAAACGAGACAATGTACGCATGCGCCGAAGCTAATTCTCCGGTTGCCTGCTACTCCGCACTACAGCCAAACCGGGTGATTGCGGTCTTGTTTGTTGGTTTGATAACTCCTAACCGATTGTGTTTTGATGATCCTTCGTCTGCACATACTCTTCTCGGATCGCAAATACATCTACATTGAATTGGCGACGTTAGCTAATGAGGCGTCAGACTGAATCGAGTTGAGCTCATTCAAAATGTTTTCTATTCCATTTATTAGCCCTAGACTACCAAGAGAAATTAGGAACACAAGCGACTATAAAGGTAGACTTGGTGACGTATTTTTACCGTAGTAGCGTCGGACGAATGTTTAGTTTACTGTGCCTTCTTGGTCCTGTTTTGGAATCTGGTCGTCTTCCTTCAACGCCAAACGAAGACTCAACAACGTTTAGTCTCACTACTGACCTCACCTGGAAGGAGTGTAACAGCATAAATCAAGAACTGACATCATCATTCACACTTGCTCAAATATCTATTAACCTATATTTACGGTATATATTATCAAAACGGGAAATGTATATAATTGACAGTAGAAAAATAATTATTACTTTTGTACGTCAAGACCTCAACCGTGGTTGACTTTTTCTTTGTTTGTCTCCTTCAAGTTGTTTCGCCATCATAAAAATAAACACTCAAGTTAAGTACAGATACCTGAAAAATAACATAAGTACAGTCGCAAAGTTTTTGCACTTTCCACCACAGCACATAATACACTATTAGGGTGCGAATTATTTTGCGGGAAAATATGTACTTTGAACTAACATTCCTGTGTTTTTGCAGCACAAATGCATCAATTTCGGAGCCTCTGTTTAGCCACACTGGAGAAAGTCTTTCGCAGAGTATCTACACGATTGAAGAGCACAGAAAGAAGACCCTCAGCTCCACTGGGTTCGAGAATTTTGACCAACCCGGATGACATTTTTAAGCACAATATGTGGTCAGTAATTTTTTGGACCATTATGAGCCAAAATCCTAAAATTGTATCTTTATATGTATCCTATTGAGGAAATGTGATTCAAGTCCAACCTTTAAATTCAATGTATATATATTTTTAATATGTGAAAGGTGTTTTCCTTGAAAAGTGTACAGTAGTTGTGTAATTCTTAATGTTTAGGGATCATGTGCAGTGGACAGAGGCGGACAAAGATAATGCACAGGTGAAAGCTGCCAAAAACTCCAAAGTGCACATTCCGTTAGGGGAACAAGGCAAGAATTTGTATTTGTATCAAAAATCACATTTCACCGCCATTACCTTGCAAATTAATTTTTTAAAAATCCTTTGTCCACAGGCAAATTTGATACAGAAGCTCGCCACTACTGGGAAAGGTTTTATGAGCTACACAAGGGTAAATTTTTCAAAGACCGCAAGTGGCTGCTCTTGGAATTCCCAGAACTACTTCCGTCAGATTCCAAAAGCCAAGACAGTGGCTTTGACGGGGAAAAGAATGCCAGACGGCAGGAACTCCACAGCCACACACACTTTGACTCTTCCTCAAACCATCGGCGCCTGTGTCAAGATGCACAACTGGAAACAAATGAAGCCGCTCTGCGGGTTTCTTACCCTGGACAACACTCTTCTTTCAGGATATTGGAGGTTTTGCTAAATATTATTTTGTGAATATGGGATAAACGGTTATGATAATTGATGGATTGATATACAGTATATTTTTGGCGTTGGTTTTATGTCAGCACGGTAGTCAAGTGGTGGGCACATATTTTGTAGGCTCGAGCTAACCCACAACGGATAAGCAGTGTCCAAAATGTGATGTTTTTACAGCCAAGCATACAAGTTAAATTAATGAGTCAGATGGGATTCATTTTTTATTAAATTTGCTCTACGCGCTTTGTGTAACTTACCGTATAACTTTACAGGTTGGATGTGGTGTTGGCAACAGTGTATTTCCAATTGTTAACAATATCAGGTAAGTGTCACGTGAAATAATACTTCACTCAGCATTGCTTTAACCTCTTCACAAGGTTTTGTGTATGAAATAACATTTGCAATCTCGTATTTGTTGTGAGCATTATTTTTGTTCTATTATTAACCTTTAATTTTGTCTACAGGGAAAACGGCGCATTTTTATACTGTTGTGATTTCTCCCCATGTGCTATTCAGCTGTTGAAGGTAAGAAGACTATTTGCATTTACATGCTGTCGCATTACATCTTATAGTATATTCTTGGGTCGTAAAAATGTCAGCATTCCCCCATCAGGTGCAGTACAACAATTCTTCATCAACATTAGTGTTGATTTTGAATCCCACCGATGTTGTCCCCCCACTCAGAGCCATCCCGACTTCGACCACTCGGTGTGCCATGCGTTTGTGCACGATGTTTGTGAAGAAGAGGGCTCTCTTCCCTTTCCGCCACAAAGTCTGGATGTTATTCTTGCCGTTTTTGTGCTCTCCTCCATTCATCCAGACAGGTGGGTGAAGTTTACTGCAAAAACACAGTTGAGGCTATTGGTGAACCTGTCAATGGAGTTTCCTGTTATGTGTTTCGTTTGACAGTAACTTTTAACTGTCATTAAGCCATCACAAGACAGCGTTCCTTTTGCTGTGCATATAGTGTAGGTAACGTTGTGGTCAGTGAAGTGACATTAAATGAGATTTCATCAACAGGATGCAAGGGGTGGTTAGCAGGCTAGCATCCTATCTGAAATTTGGAGGGATTTTCCTTTTTCGTGATTATGGGAGATATGACTTCTCTCAACTCAGGTTTAAGAAGGGTGAGTCGTGGATTTGTTGGACACACTTTTGACAGTCTCCTTTTTATAGTGTCTTGTGTGGATGTAGTCTATTAATAGGTATCGTCTTTTCGCAATCAGGTCGGTGCTTGTCAGACAATTTCTATGTACGAGGAGATGGAACTTGTGCTTATTTTTTCACAAAAGGTTTGTATATAAAACTACAATAATGCAGTTCAAATGACTCCACTGCAGCCGAGTTTGACTGGGTTTCATCTCCACAGACGAAGTTCACGGTTTATTTTCCAATGCTGGATTGGAGGAAGTACAGAATCTGGAGGATCGACGAATTCAAGTTAACAGAGGGAAAAAGGTTTCAATGCACCGGGTGTGGATGCAGAGCAAGTATAGGAAATCGCATCCACTTTCACCCTGTTAACACATGGGCCATGCACTTGTGTGTTTTTTTTAAATGTATATACAAATACTGTATGTCCTTTGGACTTCTTACTTCTGACATTCATTGTTTTTATACTTTGTACTATTTATCTGAAAGAGTGTGTGTGTGTGTAGTACATTTTGATATCACACATGTCAAACTCAATTCTGTAGTGTTTATTTTATGAGTAAAATGAAGAAATGCATTTTATTGTATAGTAAGTGTACCATGCATGAGATTTCAAACCACGCCACTGGAGCAAATATACTTAACTGGAAATTGCAACTCATTGCTGAAGAAATGCTAACAGGTTCGGTATGCTTCCACCTTGACGGCCAAAAAAAGGCATGGAAAAGCTGAGGCACTCTGTGACAGGGGAGTTTATTGCCCAACGCGTATCGATTTAAAAGAGTCTTCATCGGGGCTAATAATCTAATCTCGAAAGTTTTTTTTTTTTGGACCAATATATTTACAGTTGAGCCCTGGAGCGAAAATGGGTTATAATTGATTCCCATTGAAATGGCACAAATTGTCTATTTTGCCAATGAAGTAAAATTTATATTTGGGGGAATGAGTGTTTCCTTTATTTGTGGTTGTTGAGACAAAAAAAAAAAAAAAGAACTTGAATTTTTGCACACGGTGCGTGACGTCGTCTTCCACTTGAGGACCGAGTGAGGTAGCCCACGACACTCCACTCAAGTATACACAGTACAGTATACGTACCGAGGCTAGTACTCCACAAGCCAAGTCATAATTACTACCTTTCTCCCAGACGCGACTAGTAATTTCACCGCCGGCGAGTGAGGGAATGTATCGGCCTCGAGGCGTCAAGTACGCGGCAGAAAAGTAGCTTGATGAGTGTCCAAAGTAGTGGAAGTTTGGAGGGGCCGCCATCTTTGGTCCCAGCTCTCCACGTCCTCAACACGGACGGTGTTTTCAGCAACATACCACGGCGCTGCTGAAGGCCCTTGAAGGTATTGTGGAATGTTTTCGGGATGATTCATGTGTGTGTTTCTCTCCCTGGGTGTTTTTGTTTTTTTTGCGGGGGCAGAACGGGAAGGAAATTGCAGTGAGACGACGGGGAGTGAGTACGCAAAGTCGTGAATGTTAGCAGAATGTCGGCTCCAAAGTCCATTGAGGCTCTTTAGGCTACTAGCTAGCAACACTAAAGCATCGTCTTTTCCAGGGCCCCGGATTGCGAATATTCCCTTTCAGACAATTGCACGCTTCTTGTCGACGAGTATCAATGATTAGGAAAGGTTGCGATTGTTGTGGATGCGCGCAGCCATGTTATTAAGCATGCACCTTTTTGCACGAGCTAGTCAAGTTACCGATGAAGGTAGAGGGGGGAAAAATGTGGGGACAAAGCGATGTCTGCTGATGGTTCCCGATGTCTTTATCAGCAGTTGGCATGCTTGTACATAGGTGGACATCCACCATTGTGCGGCGATTGTCGTGTCACAACATGACGTCTATCATCACTTTGCACCAAGCTTAATATATGCGGCTAAGGCTTGACATGAGATGCTAAAAGAAACGACTTTAGCCTTACGTGACCTTTTTTTAATCAAATCAGCCAGGAGTAACTTGCCAAATCGGATGTCACTGCTTACAAAGCCACAAATTGTCACCATTTTAAGTTGAAAATGGGCACGTTTAGCCTGTGCATCTCGCTTTCTCTTGCACATCTCTCGTCTTTTCCTGGAAATGTTGACACGAATAGGAGATTGTGAATCAGACTGGGGTATGGAAACATGTTGTAACGGTGGCGAAATGCCAAACAATGACATTTAGTAAAAGTCCGATCCTAAACGCCCATTACAGTGAAGTTGTTGGAGGTGGGCCATTAATTAATGCCAGAGCATTTTAGGACTTTCTCAAGTGTCTCTGCCATAAACAGGTGGCCAGTGTGCTGAGCAGCATGGAGTTAAAATGACATTCACAGCCATGGCTGTAAGGGTTCAACCACTTGTTCTCGCAGGGGCTCGAATATAGATAATTCTCCTACACACAGAGACCTTCATGGGCAGAGCTTTATAAAAACACAGAGCTTGCTTGTATTAATGTTTCGGAAAGTTACTGGGTCAAAAGACAATGGGCTGTATTCCCCATGTCATTGTGACTTCAGTTGCACCAAAGAGGCCTTAGAGAAAGTGTTTTTAAAAAAAAAGATATCTTTGTATCCACCATATAAACAATATTTTCCCCCCTTTCAGATGACCGCCTTCACGAGGAAAACCCGGAGCAGTTTTATTGACTTAAAGAGCCGTAATCACGGGTGGTATCAGTTGTAAATCATTGCAACAGCTGTAGTAGCCAGCTCGAAGTAATGAGTCAGCAAGTTCTTGAGAAATCTTGGTCGACATCAATGTGCGCCATTACCCCTTTTAACAAATTATTTTCGACTCTTTTCATTGTCTTGCTGAAATGGCGGCAGGGACACAAAAAAGAAGCAAGCTGGCTTGTTCCTTGTTTGTTTGTTTTTTTAATCTACTTGGTAATCGTTTTGTCAGCTTTATCAACCTCACTTGCATTGTCCTTACCCCGTTTTTTTTGTTGCCCCCCCTGCTCCTCCTCACTAATTGTTTTTAGCGTTTGTTGACATTGTTACACTGCTGCAGCCGATGGTTTCACAAGGAATATGGGCTGCAGATTCTTTTGGCAATGGAGTCGTCCCTTGTTTATTGCGGAGGTTATGTTCCACAGCCCCCTGCGATAGACAATTGTGATTTTTATTATTATTATTTTTTTCTGGCAGATGTTGTGATTTTGATTTCATTCACCATTTTCTTCAGCTCAAGCTTCCATGCAACATTGCACAGTAAAACAAAACATAAACAGCGACAACGGTAATGTAAGGACACCAAAAGAGGCTGTGAAAGCTAACATCTTGAATGAAGTCTTGGACCAAAGAATTTAGTAAGTAGGGTTAATTGATAACACCAGTGAGTAGGGTATAAATAGTCTGCTGCGTACCAAATGTATCTTAATACACAAGTGAATAAAATTAGATGATCTACAATCTGAGGAAGGTTGTTTACATCTGTTACATCATGTTTACATCTCAAATTCAAAAGGGCTGATTTTATTTCTATCGCGAATTGTAAAACGGAAGTGTTTTTGTTGGCTTTGATTCATGCTTGGTTTATGATGTCGTCATGGTAAAGCTGGCCTGTGACTGCTCTCAGCAGTTGTCAAGTGACTTAAGACTTGGCAATTGGGCTGAAGATGATGGTACTTTGCATATTAGGAAAAACAAAACAAAAAAACAACCATGTGGATGTGACTAAAGCAGGCTTGACATAATCACAATATGTTGACTATTGAAAGAACCGAAACTCGCATTGTAATTATATATCAGAGGGGTATATTCAATTAATATTTGTTCCTGTCAAATATGTTCTGGCGTGCAAAGCACCGGTCTCAGCGTCATTTGAAATGTGTGCAAACGTTCATAAGATGGGCCTAAACATTCATTTTAAGCAAATGTAAGAAACAAACTACACAACTTACGAGTGAGCCGATTTAGGAGCTTTTCAGACACAATTTGATGACGCTTGGCCGATTTTTGGATCTGTCTTGAGTTTGAGCTAGCAAATTTGAAAACAAGCAGCAGTGAGAAATTCTTCGAAAAGAACCCAAGTGTGCTTGCCGCAAGCTGTTGATGGCCCCTGTTGATGGTTCAATTTCAAAAAATGAAAATAACACAAGGTGTTAATTCAACGTTTTTTGATGAGACACAAAATGCCAATTTTGCCAAGCAAACTGCAACGTGGAACTGCCTATTAAAAATAAATAAATAAAATAATTATAGTGGCTCAGATTCAACTCCCAAGTGCGACCTCACGTTACCTTGTCTGCTGAGGCTTAGGAGATGTGACAGAGCTTTTCACTTAAGAGCAAATGATGACGTCAAATCATCCTTGTGTCTTGCATCATTGAGAATGTAGAAATAAATTAATAACATTAAAAAAAAATGTCTAAAAAGTTTGGAATCGAACAAGGAATTCTGGCTGCACCTTAGTTTTTAGTGACAAGCCTTTAAATAATAATGAACCCGTCTCTCTTATTCTGTCCTAGTCTGTCTTCCTCCCCTTCTTTTTTATTTTAAATTCCATCCCACCAAAAGTTAACTTGGCCCTGCACTGTTTGTATTAACGTTACGATGCCTACTTTTATTTTTTCTCTGCTCAGTCTTTTGCAAAGCAGCTGTCCGGCTTGATCCGCGGATACAAAATGGTGGCATCGTTCTCGCGCAGGTTTACTGAGGCAGCAGACATGCCGGTGCCCCCGGGGAGCTCACGCAATAGCCTAATAAGAATTAATTATTCATCCTTGACTTGCTGTCGAAACATCGGCGCTGCACCCTCACATGACATTTGTGCTGAGCAATATGACTCGTTCCGTGCACCTTGCGACGGTCACAAGTCGTAAATATGATCTCCTCCGGTAACCCAGATGTGCTGCCGATTGTCGCTAATGTTCGCAGGCGCCATGGAGGAGCTGCACAGCCTGGACCCCCGCAGACAGGAGCTGCTGGAGGCTCGTTTTATGGGCGGGGTCGGCGGCAGCACCGGTGGCAGCACCGGTAGCACAAGCGGAGGAACTAAAGTGAGCCCTTCATTGATTCTTCTAAATAAAATAAATGCTCAGTCATTTGTGATGGCGTGTGTGTAACCTAAATGTTTACACATTTCATTCTAGGGTTTGACCAATAATGAATGTTCGAACCATAGTTTTGGAAGTTTGGGATCTTCAAGCGATAAAGAGTCAGAGGTACTTTTTTTTTCGGTGTTCAATTCCTCCGGCATTACGTGTGTGAAAGTTGTTTTTGCCCAAGTGTGTTTGTGTGCCTGTTTAAAACCACCATGTTGTGGTTTGGAGTTGGAAGCGTTGAAACGTCCTCATCGAGCCAAGCGGTACTCCCTTAACTTGTTTTTGTTTACAGTTATTTAAAACTGCAGCTTATGAAAACCTACAAAAATATTGACCTCCAATGAATTTTCCCAGAAAATCAATTTGCACCTCTGACAAATACGTTGAAAGAAGATTTTGGGTTGATTTTGTGGTCACGAAATGTGGCTTTAAGATGTGATAGAAGAGGAGCTTCTCTCTGTTCTTTGTCTTCATATTTTTCGGTCTCTTTCACTTCTAGGGTTCAGACGTGAAGCGAGGCGGCTCACCAGCCTACTCGGTGAGTTCGGGGGCCTGAATTATAACCTTAAGTGAGCCGAAGACAACGCTTGAGCTTAGGTTTATGTTTTCACGCTTTCCAGCCTTCTTTTCGTGAGTTTTGGCATCAAATTACAGCAATGCTTCCCCGCGAGGAAAGCAACGTTTATCGATCTTTTTGGTACAAAGGTTTCCAACTAAGATTACATAACTGGTGAGTTTGTCAGGGGAAAGTGTCGGTAATTGCGCAGGTGTTATTCGACGAGAATCCCAGACACATTGTCGAAAGCAGCACAGTCATTTTTTTTTTTTCTCTCTTCTCAAAAAAGACGCGACATTGTGAAACTGATCCCATGTGTAGCACTCATGTGTGACAATAATCCCGATCCAGCACTAGTTTAGAAAGTTAGTGTCCTGATTTATTTTCATTTTTTAATGAAATAGTCTATCTCTATTTAGACTCCAGAGAAGAAGCAGTCCGAAACACCCCGAGGCAGAAAAAGGAAGCCTGACATTCACTCAGAGAGTAGCCAAGGCGAGTATCTTTTTATTACCCTCTTATTATAATGTTCCATGCCGTCAGTGTCCTGTGAAAAAAAACACATACTGTTTATCCATTTCTATCATTTTTTTTGGGTACACTTTTACATCATGGGAACATTCGAAAAGGCGGACACCCCATTAACGTAAAAAAAAAAAAAAGAATCAGACTAACATTACTGTCCGTTTGCTTTCCTTTTTTCAGGAAAGACGACTGTGCGCGGCCCCAAGATAAGTGACTATTTTGATGTAAGTTTTCCATTTTGTTGTCAGCACCGCTCCCAATCTTATTTCTTCACTCTTTAAAAGAACACACACACAAAAAAAAAAGCAGGTCAGAAAAACAAAAGAGAAGCATGAGCAGATCTGCTGCTGTTGTCAGTGATGCCATTTTTTTCCCCCCCGCCTTTGGTCTCTTTATTTATTTCTTTTCCTTTCCTTGTAGTTCCAAGGAGGGAATGGGTCCAGCCCAGTGAGAGGCCTGCCGCCAGTGATTCGTTCCCCTCAGAATTCTCATTCGCACTCCACTCAGGGCACCGCTGTAAGCTTTGTCCAAAAATGTCTGCGCTGTGCCTCATTTGGAGTTTTTGGGCTTTCTCACCACAAACGCTATCTCTCTTCAGTTGCAGGGTAGACAAAACAGCTCCTCTCCCACCAGTCTGTCCTTTGGTGACCACATGGCACATCCAAAACAACTCGCGGTTAAATTTGTTCAGGTGAGGGACTTTTTCCGGATCGCCGTGCCGTTTTCGTCGCTCTTTTTCAGCCGTTTTTTTTTTATTGAGCTCCTTCCGCGTTATTTTTTTTCTTTGCCAACCAGACTGACCTCACGGTATTGAAGCTGGCCGCCCTCGAAAGCACGAAGAATCTCGACCTTGAGAAGAAGGAGGGGAGAATAGACGATTTGTTACGGGTGTGCGGCCGTCTCCTTTGCAAATTTGTCTGAATGGCGTCGCGCACAAACGAAACCTTTGATTTGTTTTTGAATGACAAAACTATGATTTTTTTTTTCCTCCTTCGGTAGGCCAACTGCGATCTCAGGAGACAGATAGACGAGCAACAAAAATTACTTGAAAAATACAAGGAACGCTTGAATAAATGCATCACAATGAGCAAGAAACTACTCATCGAAAAGGTACGTCTCAACCTCCAGACACAAAGACGAGATCTTTTTTTTTTTGGTGCGCTGTTTAGGTGCTCACCTTTGATTTTTGCGGCTCGGCAGAGTAACCAAGAGAAGCAGGCCTGTCGGGAGAAAAGCATGCAGGACCGACTCCGATTGGGCCATTTCACCACAGTGAGGCACGGCGCGTCGTTCACTGAACAATGGACGGACGGCTACGCCTTCCAGAACCTCGTCAAGTGAGACACTTTGACACGGTTGACGAATGCATGTCAGATTGAACAGATAATCGTTTTCAAATATTCTTCCTTGGCTAAGAATGCAAAAAAACCCAATAAAAAACAAGCTGCAGATCATCCAACTGCTATTCTTAGTGCGTTTGTTTTTTTAAAATGCAGCAGCATCAAAACAACACCCCAAATTTTTTTTTCCAGACAGCAGGAGTCGATCAATCAACAAAGGGAGGACATCGAGAGGCAGAGAAAACTACTGGCCAAGAGGAAACCGCCTTCGTCCAACAACTCTCAAGCGCCCGCAACAAACTCTGAGCCAAAGCAACGCAAAACCAAGGCGGTGAATGGGGCAGAAAGCGATCCTTTCCTGAAACCGAGCCTACCTCAGCTGTAAGTTCCCGTCTTGAGGGCGGATCGACGGCTCAAAAAAACGTCACTCTCGCTTCTCTTTCCATGATTATTATTCACATTGCGTTGTCGTTGTCACCATACCAAACGTCGGACTTTTATATTAAAAGTCAAAAGTGCCCATTTCTGACTTCACGTTTCGAAAACAGTACAAGCCCAACCCACTCCGAGACCTCGAGAAGCACTCATTGTACATTTTAGTGTGCCGCTTGTAAAGCAGTAACTAATTTTTGCACGTCTGGTTGCTTAATCGTGCCGCATCTGATAGAATTCAAATCTAAGTAAGCACGGGCGTTATTGTGTGTGTCTTCTTCAAAGGCTGACGCTAGCTGAGTACCACGAACAGGAGGAGATCTTCAAACTGCGACTTGGACACCTCAAGAAGGTTCGTTCAATCAGTGAGCGTGGAGCATCTTGCGGGAAGCAAAACATGACATCTGTGAGAATAATATGTGGCAAATCACAATCTTCTATAATCGGAAGAGTTGAACCCAGATTTTGGAAAAGTTTCTATTGTGGTTGTCATAACGACGATGGCTGTAGAAAGCCAATCGTTTAATATTCAACGCGGCGCATAAGATGCGGACGAGCCTTGCAGTCACGACTCTGAAGTTTCTTTTGCTTGCGCACGCGAATCTTTTACAGGAAGAAGCCGAGATCCAGGCGGAGTTGGAACGTCTGGAGAGGGTCCGCAACCTTCACATTCGGGAGCTGAAGAGATTAAATAACGAAGACAGCTCACAGTGAGTGCGAATCAATGTCGCTTGGCATTCACACAAGGCCGGTCTTCAAAATGCCGCTCTTTGCACAGCCGACAATTAAACGAGCAACAGTTATGGACCACATCCAACTGGCGGTATAAAAACAAATGGAAGTGACTTAGCTGTACTCGGTAAAAACACATCAATAATCTGTAGGAGACATCAATCTCAACATCAAGTTTTTTTTTTTCCTATTAAGGGGTTTCATATAAAAAAAGGTTTTAGTTATGACTATCTTAGGCACACATCTGCGCCTTACATTGGTGATGTAATTGTCGGCTTATTTTAATACTGAAAAGGCGTATGCCGAATGGAATCTCTCAAACTGGACACACCTGAAGTGTTATAATTATGAACCAGACCATTGAAGCTCCATCAAGTGACTTTCCAACGTGCGACCTACTGTGCCTCATTGAGTAATAAGTGCGCTTCCAAATTTGTCACTTTTGTGTTTTATTCCATGTGCAGATTTAAAGATCACCCTACGTTGAATGAACGATACCTGCTCTTGCACCTTCTTGGGAGAGGCGGATTTAGTGAAGTTTACAAGGCAAGTCATTCACGTTATTGGAAGTAAATTTGTTTTGTGGAGAGGGGGGAAAAAAAAAAACTAACAGCCTTCCATGCCGTGCCGTGCAGGCTTTTGATTTGATTGAGCAAAGGTATGCCGCTGTAAAAATCCACCAACTCAACAAAAACTGGAGGGACGAGAAAAAGGAGAACTACCATAAGTATGTCGGCTCACGCTGATGTATAGACGTTAGATTGAGGATGAAATGTTTTCCTGGAGTGTGCGTCTTCTAAGATCTGGACTGCCTCTCTCTACAGGCATGCGTGTCGAGAGTACAGAATACACAAGGAGCTGGACCATCCTAGAATCGTGAAACTTTATGACTACTTCTCACTGGACACAGACACGTTAGTCCCCTCGAGAATTGCGAGTACTGCTTCGGGAGCAGGGCTCATGCTTGACTTTTGTGGTCGGACTTTTAACGCCGCCGTCCTGTCTGACAGGTTTTGCACTGTTATGGAGTACTGCGACGGCAACGACTTGGATTTCTACTTGAAGCAGCACAAGCTCATGTCGGAGAAGGAGGCTCGGTCCATAGTCATGCAGATTGTGAACGCGCTCAAATATCTGAATGACATTAAACCCCCCATCATCCATTATGACCTCAAGCCAGGTAAATTTTTTTTTTTTTTTTTTTTTTTTTTTACTTTGGTCGATCAGTGGACCTTTGGGGTAAGAACTTGAATAAAGGCCATACCCCAAAAAAACAGTCAACAGCCACATGGGATAAATTGTAATGACATCACCACTTGACATAACATGCAGTCATTTTTTTTTTTTTTTAGTTAAATTTGCTGATTTAGAAACGGCACACTCACAAAAATGAATCGGGCCCATGAATTGTATATTATAAAATAAAATAAAAAAACTGGACACTATTTTATTAGCTAGGGTCTTCCGACTTATGTTACTTGGAGCACAGTGGCCCTTCAGTTGTCATTTTAGGGGCACATCCTGCAAAGTAAATATTCACATTTCCTCTTCAGTTGAACACAAAGCTGATGACCTCGTTGTTTTTCCGTTGTCAGGTAACATCTTGTTAGTGGATGGCACCGCCTGCGGCGAAATTAAAATCACTGACTTTGGTTTGTCTAAAATCATGGACGATGACAACTACGGCGTGGACGGCATGGACCTGACGTCGCAGGGGGCGGGGACATATTGGTGAGAGGTCCTACGTTGCGCGCAAGACTGTTCGGTGGAACAGTCGAAGTAAAACCGTTGCGGTCTAATCCTGTGTTAGGTACTTGCCTCCGGAATGTTTTGTGGTTGGGAAAGAGCCTCCAAAGATCTCCAACAAGGTGGATGTGTGGTCTGTTGGTGTCATCTTTTTCCAGTGTCTGTATGGAAGGAAGGTGAGGAGCAAATTGTCGTTTGTTCTTCTTTTTTCGAATGGTTGCAAGTGTTACCTGAAGATTAAGAATTGTCCCGTCCGTCTTCAGCCGTTTGGCCACAATCAGTCGCAACAGGACATCCTTCAGGAGAACACGATCCTCAAAGCTACCGACGTCCAATTCCCCGTGAAGCCTGTTTCCAGTCATGAAGCTAAGGTTTGTTTTGTTGTTTCGCCAGCCAGCAAGCATCGCATTTCAATTATTGCAGCTCTAATTTCAAAACGAGTTAGCCATCTGTTGGGTATAGGCTGTAGGATGAGATTAAACACAGATGATTTCAAAGTCGTAACATACCAAAATGACAAAAATGAGATTTAACGCTCCTGCCTTCAACCCCTACTGCTTGCTCCTCCTCTTCCCTTTTCAGGCCTTTATAAGGCGCTGCCTGGCGTACAGGAAGGAGGACCGCATCGGCGTTCACCAGATGGGAAGTGACCCCTACCTGCTCCCCCACATACGGAGGTCCAGCTCCTCGGGGAATCTCCAGATGAATGCAGCTGGCTCAGGGCCGGCCCCCTCCGGCATCATCTCATACTGACGGCCTGATACTGTGACGCAGCCTGACCAAGCGCACGGCGAGCCTCCCTGAGGCTAACGGCCAGCAAGCGGCGGGGGAGGGAAGCGGGGGGTGACCACATCTCACCGGCCGGGCCTCCTCTGACTTGATCGACAGATGCACGGGGACAGTAAAGGAATGTTTTGTTTTTGGGTTGTTTTTTTTTTTTGGCGGGGGGGTTTTTATGGAGGGGAGTCATGAAAGAAAATGCGCTTTTGGCCTCCAGCTGGTCATGATGTTTTCTTTCACCTTGTAGCGAATGCGACTGCCGCTGATGAAGCCAGTCTAGGTCTGGCAGCGCGAGCCGGGGGCAT